TTTTTATTCGCATGCTATGTCAATGTTAATGTACATTATGTACAGGCCTAAGTTATATATCGCGTACACTTGATAAAATACCACAGAATTCTGCATTTATTAGAATTCTGTGTAAAAAATACAGAGATTGTAATTAATTAATTACGAGTCAGTCCTTTTTAGAACTCTCTACAGCCAAAAACAACGAATGTTCTCGCTCTAAGATCTCGCGAGACAAATCGGGACATTCAGTTAAGCGTTCTCATTCCAATGTTCGGTGACAACAATCTTTCGAGATAGTATGTTGTGTCTCCAGCTCTAGGCTAGTCTAAGTTCACATTCCTGGAAATTTAATGCAGTTCCCAAGCTGTGCTTCTCAGGGTTGCCTGCACAAACAATTTTGATTGTCGGGACATTTAGTGTTCAGGTCGACAAGGTTAGCGGTTTCTATTGTTGTCATAATTGCCATGGAAATAGTGTTAAAATCATATCGAATTTATCGTTTGTTGGTCGGTTTAGAGAAAAATGTGGAATTAACAAGACGTTAGACGAGCAGAAACATACCCTATGGCCGTATTATGGCGTATTACTTATTCCCCGAGATTATCTATAGATAACAGATGATTGATGGGTCCATCATATATTCATGATATATAGATCTAGGCTTCTATAGTCTAGTCTATAGATCTAGTCTATACCCATTCATTCATTGAGTCACTGACATTTTGTCATTGAAAAATCATGCTAATTGCCAATCGTAGTAGATATGATAGGCCTTGGCACAATGCAACAAGCGAACGATTCTAATGCAGCATTGAAATGTGTTTTTCTGTTGCCCGGAATTACATGCAAAGTACGAAATGTAAAAGAAAGTAAATCTTTTGTTAATAATTATGTCTTAACAGACAAATAATTTAACACATTAAATTGGATTTGTACTTCTTCATATTCTTACACTATTTTTCTTCTTAAGAATTAGATCTAGATCTAGATCTAGAATCTAGATCTAGATCTATGTGTGCAACTACCCCCAATTCCTGCAGATACTTTTACAGCTCTCTTTAGCCTACATGACATGTCTTATTGTTACCTGGTTGATGACCATCATCGGGTAGCCTAGACTGCTTTTAAACTGTATTACTGTGAAGAATCTTATCATGAAAAAAGAACCAGCAATAGATCTACATTTTGGGCACTGGTAGTCCTATATGCCCCTACACAACATTTATAATCAACCATTATGATAGGTTCTGTAGAGAGGGTGAGGGTGAATAGAGGTAAAACAAAAATCACACACACAACACACACGCACGCACACACACA